GAGAGAAACTTGAGATTTTCAACAATGATAGGACAATATATGTAGATGTGACAAACGTATTTCATTCTTACCAGAATTGCTGCACGCCGACGCTCGCTATTGCCCGAAAAAAGGCATATCGAGAATTTCAAATTTCTAACACTTTTTCTACAATATCTTTTTACCTGTAAATATTTTGTTAGAACATATAGAACAAAAGTTGTGTAGAATGTCACAATCTTTCAAAGGATATCAACAATAAGGGGCTGGCCCCTAAAATTAGGGAGCTAGAGGGGCCAAAAGTGTTCTCCTGATATCTCAAAAAGTATTGAGAATTTGTATAGCATCATAGAAGCAAAGTTGTTCAAAATGACAAGTAGCAGCTAAGGAGATCATTAAAAGTAGTCAAAATGACGTCACTTCCGGTCAAACCGGAAGTAATGGTAGATGGCTCATTCTTGCTCCTATGACCATGGATGTCTCTCGATCTCATCTCCTTGAAATTTAGACGGTAGACTTATTTGTTGCTTTGCAACAAGCTCGTCTAGTTAAGGTCTTCCGACTTCAGCGGAAGACCTTACTGTTATTCTTAGGTTTCTTTTCCACTATTTTTATTATTTTTTTTTTTTCCTACCGATTTTGTGCACGCGATTTCTTGGAAACAGCTCGCCCGATTTTCATGAAACTTTCAGGTCTGGTAGAGAATTAAAAAATCTAGATAATTATGTATTTTTTATTTTGATGACGTCACTTCCGGTCCGGAGATTTTCGAGATTTGGTGATTTTCAAGGGTTAGTTTGTCCGGGCATTTTCAAGAAAAGCACTTAACACAGGAACGTGAGATTTTCAGTGATGATAGAGCAACATATGTAGATTTGTACTTGGAAGTTCATTTTTACCCGAAATGCCGAACATCAACGTCCGCTACAGCCCAAATTTTTATCTCCTTTTCCTACTTGTTAACTTTGATACCTCACATCTTGCTTATTTCTCAACGGATTTTAATCAAAATTTCAGAGTTTATTGACATTACAAACCTCTATCAGAATTATATAATATTTTTCCAAAATCCACTTCCGCTTTCGAGTTATTTCCCTTTAAGTGAAAATTTAGGGTCTTTAATTTCCAGACAAATATTTCGAGACTACAAAAGTTGGAACATAAATACTACTGAATATAAGAAACAGAAGCAATGAAGTTGTGAACATTGGTTTTTGTTTTTTGATTTCTGCGTTCAAACTGCCGCTAGATAGGGGTCAAAAATTAAGACGCATGAAAGAGTATAAATTGACACATGTTTTCCTTTGTATCTTTTTAATAAGAAATATTTTCTTAAGACATGTAGAATAAAAGTTGAGTGCAATTTAATTACCTTTTATTTGACACCACTAAAAAGGAGCTGGCCCCTTAAATTAGGGATCTAGGGCCCTTGAAAGTTTTTGCTTTATAACTCAAAAACGAGAAAATATTTCGATATGGCTGTCGATAAAAAGTTGTTCCTTTATACCTTCTTTGTCTCATGAAAATATTATTTTGTTTAAGTCTTGTGTATGGTAGGGAAAAAAAGCGAGACCCGTAAACAAGGACCCGTTTTCATTTGGCTAGTGAAGAAGAACTCTTTATGTGTATAACTGAAATAAACTTGCCATAAATAATATATCTTTCAATGCTGTATCCTAATTTTTTTAAATTAGGTTTTAAATGTGCTCTTTGGTTTCTATTCAGATTATTCGGTGACAACTTTCTCTTTTTATTGTGTTTTAATATAAGGAACCTTCCAAGAGAGAAAGAAAGAGAAAACAGAAAAAAGTACAAGTATCTTTTCTTTGTTTAATTATGAAAGCAAACAGTATAAACGCAAAAAAACTTTTAAGAGTAAAATAATTCACAATCATTAACTGCGTGATTCTTACATTCACCTGAACCCCAGATTCTGTTCTGTTTACCGTTACGTAACCCATCCCTCGGTCATGCGTGGCTGAGAAGATCTAAAGCGATCTACCGCGTGTGAACCATTGACCCACAGTTGTAAACAAAATAAAAATCGGCGTATTAAGTCTATTTTGTAAACACGACAATTAATGGACAATTATTAATATCGAATATCGTTTATCTTTGCTTTAAATTTGATCATGATACATGTAGCCTTAATCCAATACGTCTTGCCAGATTTTGTGTTTGTTTACAATTACGCAACCATTAACCATTCCTTCGATCGCTTGTGGTCAAAGCAATCCATCGTGTGCATGTAAACCAGTGCGCAGTCATCAAACATTTTTGTTCTAAATCTGATTTACAAACACAACGACTTACGGGAAAATATTATTTTCTTTAAGTAAATCGAATCTTTCAAATAAATTAACTTAATATTTTAGATTTGATTTAAGTACAAAATGCTAAGCATTTAATCAGTCTTAAATTTTAAATGTTCGTTATCTCCATATTTCAATTGTTTTAACGTTACCAACAATTTATTTCCCAACCGTGTGTAATTTTACTTTTAATTTGGTGATTCATTGCGTATGGACTAGCGATCTGTGGTTACTTTAATTTAACCATTAAACGCACAAGCTTTGCACTTTCTTTACGTTTTGAAACAGTAAATTAATCCGTTTTCAACACAAATATTTCCAGTCATATTTTTTTCATCACAGGTTTTTATCATGATTATACGAACTTTAAACTTTTAAAGAGAATCTTCCGAATCAATTAAGGGTGACCAGTCTTACTTACATTATTGATTAATAAATATAAACATCAGGAAAAAAAATACATGTAGAGGTACAAGTTCAAACAAGTTTTGTTAAAAATAAAGGTTTTATAATTCACCACTTTTTCAACAGCCCCGATAGTTCAGTGGTTAAAGCGTTCGCCCTCCAATCTAATGGTCGTGGGATCAAATCCTGTTGGGAATGTTTTTTTTTTTCATTTATTTTTTTTTAACTTCCTTTCTTTTACATTATTTCTGCGAAATTAACAAATATATAAACTCGACATTTATAATTTTTGTGAAGAAATCATTATAAAAATATTTAACTCATAAAAGCAGTTTTATCGACTGCGTAATGGTGACGTAATGGTGGCTTTAAGGTGGTTTAATGGTAGCTTAATGGAATTTGGACATTAAGCACCTATAAGTCTGGCTTAATGGTGACTTAAAGATTGTCTAGAAGCTACCATTAAGCACCTATAAGCCACCTTTAAGCACCAATTAAGGACTTCGAGATGGCTTAATGGTAAATTAATGGTGGTGTATTTATTACTTAATGGTAGCCTAAAGGTGCTTAATGGTGAGTTAAAGAAAACCATTAAGCCATCATTAAGGACCTATAAGCCACCATTAAGCCAAACTTGAAGGAAGTGTTTCATCTTGTGCAAGGGGAGATAATTAAGACGAGGCCAAGGGGCCACATCGCTCACCTGAGCACTCTGGCTACAAAAAAGCAGAAATCAGGTCAGTCTTGAAAAGTTTTGATATAAAAGTGGTTCGAGGGGTGGGGGTTTTTGATTTAAACTAACTTGAATCTATACTTTATAGGGATGCTTTTGAATTAATATGACAAATAATGGCTTTGCTGTTCTTAAGAAGACAATTTTTTATTGATTTATCATTTGTATTCCTTTGTATAACTATGATCCCCTGTTATGGCCCCTCTATTGTCCTGGGGGGTCATGATTTGAACAAAAATTTGAATCTACATTACCCAAGGATACAAAGTTTTTTTTTTCTATGTATTCCTATGTAAAACTTGTATAGCCCATTGTGGCCCCACCCCACCCCAGGGGGTCATGATTTGAACAAACTTGAATCTACACTACCTGAGAATGCATCCATATAACTATGACCAATCGTATATTGCTGTTCTCAAGAACCACTGGACCAGAAAAGATAAAACTTATGTGAAAGCAGTATAGATTCAGTTTTATTCAAATCATGACCCCTTGGGGCAGGATGGGACAACAATAGGTGATGAAAGTTTTACATATTAAAACATAGGAAAAATCTTTAAATATCTTCTTCTCAAGAACAGTTTAACCATGATTAGAAATATTTATATGGAAGCATTCTTAGGTAGTGTAGATTCAAGTTTGTTCAAATCCTGATCACCAGGGCTAGGGTGGGGTCACAATGAGTGAACACAGGAAAAATCATTAAAATCTTCTTCTCCAGAACAGCAAAGCCATGATTGGTCATATTTGTATGGAAGCATCCTCAGGTTGGGGAGGGGGGATTTGTGATCACTTACATATTTAAGCTTTTCAATGCGAAACTGATTTCTGCTTTTTCCTAGCAATGTGCTCAGGTGAACGATATGGCCCATGGGCCTCTTGTTTGAAGCTCTTGTTTGAGTCTATAAGTTTAAACTCTAAGGTAGGTTTTTGTTTTCAGTCTTTTATACACTATGTGCCTTTACTTAAAAAAAAAAAATTGAAAAAAAAATTTAAAATCACAGGAAGTGACAGATGCAAAAATCAAAGGCATTAAACAAAAGCGTATGAAATCTTCTATAATCCCTTAACTAATATATATGTTAATTTCTTGAGCCATTTTGGAGAAAACACATGGACAAAATGACAATGGGTAAAATGCAACCAAAAGTTATTTTTTTTTTAAATGAAAAATAAATTTTTGAAATAGTTAATGATGCATCCTCTCTGAAAAAAAAAAACCAACTTTGAAATCATTCAACTTGATTCTGTGACATATGGTGAACTATGAAGAAGTGAATAATATTTGTAATAGATCTAATAATGATTGGGGTTTATCAAGGAAAAATAAGGTCTGATATCAATGAAGACAAAAGATAGTTGGAAAATGACCTATGAATAACAAGAATTAAGGTTTTCTGCTATGGTGGAAGACCTTTATAAGAAACCTAGTAAAAACAATTTCATTTAAACATGAAAATTGAAAAGCCAATCATTCTTTGTATTTGTTATGATGCTTACTGCCTCCAATTCATGAGTAGAAACTTTCATCAACTAATAAAACTAAAAAAGACTAAACATTTATGTTTCAGAATATTCTTCCACTTCTTTGTTTTCTCAAACCCTTGAATACACTAGCTCAGCAGGTCGATCAAGGGGTAAGGCAATCTTGTAGAAATATATACCTTCTGCCATTGTAGTTTCTTTCCCTTTCATGGCATTGTAGTCCTAGAAAATAGCTTCACATTATGTATATATGGATTGGACAGTGTATAATATAGAGCTATGCTCGAAACTTATAGTGTGCTTTATAGAGAATATGGTATTGTATGTTTTTGAAATTCAAACCAAGGCTTAAATCTATTTTTGTATTTTAGTTTACTTCACTTCATTAAAAAGGAATAGTAATTGTTTGCACGTAATCTTACTACTGTAGACCAGGGACATAAATAACAGATATTTGCCAGGGACATAAATAACAGATATTTGCAGCTGTTGGAAATCTTGCTTTTTATACCACCCAAAGGGGGGGGGGTATACTGTTTTACCCTTGTGTGTCTGTGTATCTGTCTGTCTGTAACAAATTTCTTCACAGTTTTCTCAGCAACTACTCATCGCAGATGCTTGAAATTTTAGCACACTGTTTGTTTAGGCATGCCATATGGTGGGATTCATTTTTGAATGAATCAGATATCAACTTCCTGTTTTTAACCTGTGCATCTGTTTGCTCCAAATTTCCGTCGCAGTTTTCTCAGTTTCTACTCATTGCAGATGCTTGAAATTTTAGATTACTCTTTATTTTGGCATGCCGTATGGTGGGATTTATTTTTGTCCAAATCTGGTGTCAACTTCCTGTGTATCCATGAATCTGTCCGGAGCTGTTTGTCAGTAACAAATTTTGTCACAGTTTTCTAAAGAAATATTCTTCGCAGATGCTTGAAAGGATGTTTCCACTAAAACTGATTGCCGTGGCCCCTTCTCCCGACCCCTCTAATATCATCTAATTAATTCAAAGCTGAATTATTTTACAAATATATATTTCTTTGTTGTCTGTGTGGTACAATACTTGCGGAAATTTACATTAAAAACGGTGCTATAGTTTTATTAAAGGTATTTAAAAATGCCTGCTTGTGGGTGTTAAGTCCAGAATGTTGCACTTGTATGAGTTGGGTTTTAGTTCTGACTCATTGATATATGGAGTAGGCAGGGCATTTCATCAATCGATCGAAGACTTGTATTTCAGGGCTGTAAAGAGAGGTGCGGGGAAGGATCTTGGAGAGGTACATGTACTCCCTCCACTAAGTCCAGATTTTTATTTAAAATGAAACCATTTTGATAGGTTCTGGTAGACCCTTGAAGTCATTTAGTATATAAAAAAGAAGAAACAGATGAATAACCAGTTTATTTTGTTTCAAAAATAGGATTTTCAATTTTTTTTTAAATAGGGATGCAATGGCTAGGAAAGCATGGCATCTATATGTGGAAATTCAGAACTAAATAAATAACTTGCTAATGTAAACATACAATTATTATTTTAATGAAAAAAAAAAAGAACAAAGAAAAAATAACTGTTTTCAATGAGATTTGGGAAATATGGAATTTATATAATATGAAACTCTCTCTCTATTTCCGTATTTAAGTAAATACTGGTGTACGGAATAACAAAATAAAACATTTTTTTTTTTGCAATGCTGTTACAGTAATGACATTTAAACGCTAAGACAGTTTTCATAATTGTGTGTGTGCTTGTTGGTTTGTTTGTTTAACTTTTTTATTTGGAAGAAGGCCACTGCCCAAGTAAGCTTCCTAGTGTTTCACCATCTAGGTACTTCTACCCTCATGATGTACTGATAGTTTTACAGTTAAGAATATTTTGAGGAATGATGCTTTTGCTAAGATGTGGACATGTCTTTGAAACTCTTTGAGCGAGACCTAAAGCCATGATCTAAAACTAAATTATCATTACATTTTGCCCAATTTAAAATTCCATTACTTTTGTTTGTCAAATATTGTTAAGAATGGCTGCATCATTATTTTATCCGTCTGCCAAATATAGACCTAGTATCTGAACAATATATACATCCATCACATGCCACTATCATCATTGGTTTTACCAAGTACACACGCCATTTTCACAGTATTTGTGCTAATTGTGTTGCACTTGGACCAAAAAATAAAAAGTCAAACAGCACATTATTGACATGTTTTCTAGAAAGTACAATACCTATGCAAATGAGTCCCAAATTTTTTTTATATAAGGATTCTTACGAAAAAAGTTATGCGAAGTCAGATTTTGGGCGAGACCTTGTGTTGCGGACACTACATTACACTTGTTATGTCTAAAATAAAATATTAAAGATATTTATTTATTCCAAACTTCTTGCAGGTTTCGATTATGTACCTAATTGCAGTGAAATAAAAGAAAAATCTTATGGTTCTCTTTGAAAACAAAAATTTTATTCACATTAATGACTTTCTAATTTTTTTGCCTGATTTATCTCCCTTCCTTAAGTTTATCTACCTTTACAATCACACATAAGACCTATATAATTATCATGTGAAAATTAATTTGAATGATTCTAAATTTCAAATACATTTGTCATAACATCCTGGATATCTTTGTTTGTATCTTGTCTAGCTTTGAAAATGCATAGCATTTTTGTTGCGGACACTACAAGTAACCATAAGAATAATCTTTTGTCATTTTTATAAAAATAATTGTTGATAAATGTTCATTTCTAGGCTGAATTACATACCACAGGATCAACTCTTGAAAATGTATCATATAAAAAGATGCAGAATGTGGCTTATTGAGATGAAAATAACCACATAACAAGGACCATTAATTATTTCTTGATGTATAATTGTTTTGTAGTTTTAAAATAATGTCTATGATTTTACTTATTTTAATACAATTAAAGAAGTTATAACAAATAGTTTTATAGATAAATTCAATGAATTAAAGAATTTACTGAGGCATCCATAATTTTTTTTTCAGTATTGGAATTGTTGCAGACACTACAATATTATACAATTATGGACTCTTTCGGTGGTGAATATGGTTTGTTATTCACCAGAAAAATATCAATATTGACCTCGGCGAAGCCGAGGTCAATATTGATATTTTTCTGGTGAATAACAAACCATATTCACCACCGAAAGAGTCCATAATTGTTTTATTATATAGTTCGGATTTGAATAAATAAGACGTTGAAGGCTGCATGATGATACCACTTTCATTTACGAACTTCTGTCGTGGAAAAATTTTTTAAAAAATGTCCAAATTACAAGTTATAGCTTCCGTGTTTTCCTTTTGCTGTTTGTAAGACATCGAAATGTTTAAAAAAATAATCCTGCGATAGGCTTGGCTAATGTTTTTCTTGCTCAGGTACACAGCTGGCTCCGGCCGTTGCAACCATTGTTTACAACATTGTTTGAGGTGTTGATTGTGACGTCACAATGCCGCTGCACGCACACCGGTGAATATGGCTTCAAAACCAGTGAATATGTAGTGTTATGAACTGTTTGCGTTTGTATAGATTATATATGGACTATAAATAGACTATATAATAAATTGAAATATTGCTATATGACACCATATTTGGTTTTAATGGAGTAAATTGAAAATCTTAATCTCTAACTAGTTCTGTATGTACAGTTAATGGTGTTATATTATAGGGAAATAAAAAAGGCTAGTCAAAAATGGCTTTCCGGCCTGGAAAATAAAACCCATATATATACCAGTAAGTTTGAAGTGTTATCTTGTACAAAAATCACCATTTGTTATCTTAATCCAGTTAACTAATTGTATTATCAAAGGAGCAAAATATCAGAGAAATGTTTTACATTTCAAAAATATTTAATGAAATAAAAAAGTGAAAATAATAAATGAATGTGGTATATAGTTATTACTGTAGTGTCCGCAACACAACTGTATTAATTAGAACTACACTTATTAATTAACAATTAACATCTTGATATATTCTTTAGTTTCCACTTATTCAGTTTTAAATACCACATGAAAATTAACTTTCAATATATAACATAAGACTGACAATTGAAAGATTTTGAATATTATGTATAAACAAGTCGTTATGGGTGTTATTCAAAGTATGAAGTTATAGTTCCACTAAGTTTTGTAACTTTACATATTTGTATTGACTATTTGCACAATTATAGTGATGATCAATTGAAATCATGTTACATTTCTTTGAAGAAACTGTGAATTTAAAAAGCTGTTGCGGACTCTACAAAACACAATATATTTGCCAGAATTCCAAGCAACACTGAGCTAAAAGTCTGATATTTTTTGGTAGATAGATTAGTAGCTGTACTGGCCTCTTACATGTAAAATAAAAGAAATATAATTCATAATGCATTCCAGAATAAGCACATGTTGCGGACACTACAGAATTTTGGGACATTTTTATGCCAGTAAGAAGAAAATGTGTCATTTTCTAAAGTTACGAAGAATCCACTCAAACTTTTCTTTATTGTTTCATTTATCAGTTAACTCTAATTTTAAAATGAACCTAAAGTAAGAGTAATGCATTAACATATATTTTTTTAAACTGCAAGTTCAAACAGTAGAATTATATTAAATTTCATAACGTATCTGCATTTTCACATATTTAAACATTATTTCGCTAATATTTTGTTGATTTACATACAGTAAATTGCAGATAAAAGAGGGATAATTTCACAATGGTTTGACTTCTATAACTAAGAGTTTCTATTGTAAATCTTCTGAAACAAAAACTGGAAAACAAAGCCATTTTTCAGCTGCAACAGCATAACGCATAATATACCCCATATTTTAGGTAGTAAATCTTTAATATTTTTATTGTCTAGAACATGGGAGTGTTATATATCATTTAACTTGTTAGGGGTACCATTTTGTCATAATTTGGTCATAATTGTTAAGGGTTTAATCATATATTTTGATGCAGAGTGCATTATAACATAAGTGAGTATGAAAAAACACAAATACTGTGAAAATGGTGACAGTGAAAGAACTCCTGTGAGTATTACAAAGAAAAATAAGGAAAATTACAGAGAAGTACTGGTTTAGAAATATTTCTTTAAAAATTCAAAATTAAATGAATATTTTAGCAGTATCTAACAGAAGTAATAATACTTGGCAGAAACAAATAATTCG